CACACAAACTTGGGTTCTGTAAGGTGGGGAGGTGAAAGGGGGGCACAGCCTACTCATAGAGGACTGTGCTAGTCACTGCAAAAATTCTAGCTTTTAATCGGGTCTGGGTAGAAGACAGCAGGGGCAAGAGGAGGGAGGCCAGTTATGTGGCTATGACAGTAGATGGGATGACTTTGGGGCTGCCCACAGCTGCCTCAGGCCAGTGGGAATTCTCAGTGTAGATCAGGAACGACCCTCAGTCCCTGTCTTCCCCACCTTCCCCATGAGAACTTCCTGTTTTCACCACCCCCATCCACCCACAAGCAAAAATTCAGAAAGATGTTGTGAGTTGCAAAAGGGTACTAACTTCCTCAATGCCCGTCAAAGTGCCATACACTGTACATATTACTTTATTCTTCACCACATTCCTGCAATCCCAGTTTCACAGATAAGGAAACAGAAGTCCAGGGAACCGGAGAAACTAAACCTAGATTCCTAAGCCAATGCGGCTTTTGGTGGCACCATGCAGCGTCCTTGCTGGGACATTCTGTCATCTGATACCTGGCAAAGAAAGACGGTACTGAGCTGGACTCTATGCTAGAAAGGCTTCCCAGGGCAATGAAAATGCCTGATCAGAGTTTCTGATGAAGAAAGGCATAAAAGGCTCAAACACGCCAGACTGTAATTCCATACCTCAAGCCAATGAGCCAGAGATGCCAGACCGTTCAATTCCTTCCTCTTCTATCCTCACGCTGACTGATGAGAGCAATGTCAGACACCTAGAAAGTGTGCAGAAGAAACATGCCCCTCCCCCCTCCCCCGCCCATCTGGGACTGTGGACTAAAGGAGAAGCCGCTCCTAACTTCTTACTGGTTGGCCAGTGACCCAGCAGGGCACTCCTGGAACAGGCACTCTGCTTTTGCTTCTTCAAATTACAAAGAACCATAACAGGGTCACTTTCAGTTCCCTATCTACAGGCTTAGAAACCCAGGCGAAGGCCAATTGGGCTTTTGGTCTCCATGGGGGCATCCCAAGGACTCAGCTGGAGTAGAATTTGTTTTATTTTATTTTTAAAAATATATTTTTACTGATTTCAGAGAGGAAGGGAGAGGGAGAGATAGAAACATCAATGATGAGAGAATCACTGATCAGCTGCCTTGTACACATCCCCTACTAGGGATCAAGCCCACAACCTGGGCATGTGCCCTGACAGGGAATCGAACAGTGACCTCCTGGTTCATAGGTTGATGCTCAACCACTGAGCCACACCAGCTGGGCAGAATTTGTTTTATTTTAAATCATTATGTTGCCAGATATCACAGTCTGAACCAAGAAGAGCATGTATAAAACCCAATATCTGGATTCAAAAGAGTTAGCTAGTAAGGGAAGGGTCCCAAGGGAAAGGGACCAGATACCTAACATGAAGTCACAACCACCTTTCAATATAGTGATATTGCCATTCATTCAACCATATTCACTGAGCATAAACATTGTGTCAGCACTGTTCCAGGTACTCTGGAAGGAGGTGAATGAAGTAGAGAAACAACTGCCTTCGTGAAGCTTACAAGGGGAAGCAGGCACACTCAAAACAGGAGGTTCAGTAACCTGCCAGACCCTAGCGTTACCAGGGTTTGGATCCAGCTTGCTCACACTCCACTTACCTCTGTTTACTAGGAATCTGGTGCCCTGCTGTAATTAACAGGGTTTTGGGGTAGGGGTGGGGGGCTGAGGGAGATAGGAGAGGGAATTGCTGAAAAGGAGGTATTTTCCTTTGGTGGGTGTTTGACAATCACTGTGGGATCTGTGCTGGATTATAGCAGCAAGGCATCAGGAGGAAATACGTACTTAGCTTGGAATCAAGACTTATATCCAAGCCAAAACTCACTAAGCCTCTCTGGGCTTCACTTTGAATATCTCTAAAAAAAAAAAAAAAAGGAGGTTAGCCTAGCAGGAATAGTAAATGGATTCCTCTTACCTAACAATTCAAGCCTATTCAGAGTGGCTGAAGCCACATGTGGGCTGAGCAGAAAGAGCCACAATTGATTAGTGATGTCTGCTAGGAGCGTGGAATGGTGATTAACCTGGGTGATCATCTGAGGCCTCTCCCACTTCTGATGATTTAAGGTATCTGAGTGGGAGTCATTTCAATTTTGATGACAGAATTAAAAAACCTCTTCTTTCATGAATTTCTAACCAATTCACAGAACGTTCCTTAACAAGACAGACTGCCAATTTTCTGACATGACACTGGAGATACTGTTGTGTTTAATTTTTAACTCTAAACGGTCTGTTACTATGGCATTTTTACAAGAACCTAGAAGAAGTTTTGTTCTTTAGATGCTCCACTGCACAGGAGTTCATCCTCACCACTGGGACTGTGGTAGTGTTCCCAAAGGCCTCCCAATCCATGTGCCATTTGCAATGTGGCCTTGCCACTCCGCCATCAAGGAGTGATCTAGTCCCCTTCCCTAGAACACATGCTAGGTAGACCTGTGGCTGCTTTAACCAATAAAATTGTTTCAAAATTAGAAGTTAGTTAATTTAAAAAAAATTTTTTTTAAAGAAAGGCCTGGTAGCTTCCACTTTTGCACACTATCATGGAAGGAGCCCACTATGCTGTAAGGAGGCCCAAGCCAGACACACTGAAGGGCCATGTGAAGGGAGGGGGAAAGAGAGAGAACAGAGAAAAAAATCCCAAAGGAAAGAACATTAAATAGCTTTCAAATACATTTATGAAATAACTAGAGGCCCGATGCACAAAATTTGTGCAAGGGTAGGCCTTCGCAGCCCTGGCTGCCTCAGCCCTCACAGCTCTGGCGGCCTCAAGGCCCTGCCCCCTGCCCACTGGTGGTTCCGGAAGGTCGTGCCGCTGTCTGGTCTAATTAGCATATTAGCTCTTTATTATATTGGGTGAGATAAACAGAGCCTTTTCACCCTAAGAAGAATTAAGATATTATTTTCTCAAAAAGGCTGATATAACACCAAAGGTAAAGAAAGAAGATGAAGTCTGTATGTTTTGCAAGCCCAGGAAGCACTTACTCTAGATAAGCTCTATGAAGTTCCACATCTATCGAATGCTAGTTACAGTCAGTATAAACAAAACAGGTCTAGAAATGGCCTACACACTATAGACCATGAGGGCTATGCATGGAAGACAACACCAGGCAGGCACTGGGCTGAATCTGCTGGATAACCCAAATACTAGGCTGACTTTTCTTTTCATTGGCATATAACATCTAAGGTAGTGCACAAATAATAAATGTACAGCCTGAAGAATGTTTATACCCGGAATAAGGTAAAGAAGATTCCTAATACTCCAGAAGGTTCCCTTGTGTCCTTCCCAATCAATAACCAACCCCACCCACACCCCCTACTCCACAGCCAGGAGTAAACACAATTCTGATCTTCATCACTATTGATTATTTTGGCTTGTTCTTGAATTGCACGTAACTAGAATCATACATTATGTGGTATTTTCAGTCTGCCTTCTTTCATTCATCACAGGGTTACCTTGTCTTGAAGCAGAAAACCGGAAACTGAGATTTATTTTCAGGAAATCCCCCTCTGATGTCACAGACCTGAATGCCAACTACTCTGATTTTACTGGCTATACTTCCTGCACTCTTCTGAGCACGAGCTATTTAAAATTTATAGCAAAACAGAATCTTGGATTGTAAAAGCTTTCCTTCACAATAAACCAAATCTTTTAAAGGTATGAACATCTATTCAATTTTAGCACAGCCTCTGATCTGACACTATGAAAGTATTATCTTTCCCATATTGAGTGTAAAATTCCTCAAACATATTTTTCTTCCACGGAATCCACCCATTCTAAAGAATCCTCAAATCCTGAAATAAAATAAACTATTGATTCTGTTACTACTTTTGATTAATAAGGGGTTAAGCTTTAGGAAAATCTCAGAGGCAGCCTAAGGCCCTAAATTCAGATGAATGTGGGTCAGAAAAGACAGGAGAGAGACAAGAGTACAGCAAGAAGTTATAGGTACAAGACTCTTAAGCTGAACTATCTGAATTAGATTCTGGGATCTGCCACTTCTAGCTGGGTGGCCTCGGGCAAATCATTACTCCACTCTGTGCCTCAATTACTTCACTATAAAATGGGAATAACCTCATAGGATTGTTGCAAGGATTAAATGTTAATGTATATATAAAGCTCTTAGGAGACCACATGGCACATAATAAGCACTCAGTAAAAATTAAGCTGAAAGAGCTGTAAGAGAGCGACTATTCCACAAAGGTTCTGAGCCAGTCGTAGCAGTCACCAAGACATTTAGTACAGTGCTTCTCAAGATATTTCCTTTTTAACCCTTCATAGACTGATACTTTTGTAAAATGCAAGCTCACATGCTTGAATGTCAGGGAAATACCAAATTGCTCTAAATGTTTCTAAATGTTTACTCTCACTTTCTGTGCTTATCTCATCATAGCCCAGTAGCTGCTCAGGGACTGGCGCTGGTGTGCAGAGTAAATGTTGAGGAGCACTGTTCCAGCACACAAGGACTCACAAGCCAGCTGAGAACTCAGCCAGCAGGTTAAACAGAATTATGAAAACATGTTAGTAAAGAAAACCAACCCCGAAAGTAGGGGCAAGAGGATGACTTGAGGGTCAACAAGCTGAGAGAAAATAATCCCAACAGGCTAAACCTGAAAAACAAAACTGACGGCCAGAGCAAAAAGCCAACTGGTCCTTTCCCCCACAGGTACTCCAGGAGGTGCGCCCAGAACACATGTCGGCCTGGAAGTCATCAGCCCCACAGGGAGCAAGAGAAATGAGGAAAGTAGGCAGAACTGACTCAGGTTTCCTGAGAAAGAAGTCCTCTCAGGAATGAGAAGCCACCCTAAGCACTCACCAAGCTTTGAGAATGTCAACCACGGCACACAAAGGCCAGAGTTTCTTCTCTGCCAAAGAAAACTGGCAAACCCTTCCTTTGGTGACGTGGGACTGCGCACCCCCCCCACACACACACACATATCCACCTACACACACACCCGTCACATACCTGTGGTTTTAGGAGGCTCCTGAGGTCCGCCTTGCCAGCCATACTGTGGGTATCCTTGGTAGGGGTACCCCTGAGGAGGGGGGTAAGGTCCTCCCATAGGTCCTGGAGGGTAGGCTTCAGGCCCCATTGGTTGTTGTGGATAAGGTGGGTACGGGGCCGTCGGACCAGGGCCCGAATACGGTGGAGGGTTCCCTGGGTTCATTAGGGAACTGCAGAATATACCTAAAAGACAAAGAATAAAAATTATTTGCATTTAATCAGTGGAAATCATTAGGAAACGAATTTCAACCCAAGAGATCTTTTACAAAAGGCCGTAAAGGTATTTTAAACCTCTTGCAAATCTGCAGCTCTGCCCATTGTGTTTCCTTCTCACCATCACAATTGGCAAATATCTTATGTAACTGTTCATTTGCCTTTGTCTGACTTCCCCACTAGACTATAGGCTGGGACAGCAGAGATCAGATCTCTTCTGAATCATCACCATGACCCTAGAGCTTAGCATTGTGCCTGGCACAAGGCAGGCCCCTCAACAAATGTGTTGAGTGAAGAACAGAATATTATTTTGTGTTTCAATTGCCTGAAATGTCCATAAACGTGACTGGACAGCTCTAAGAAGAAAGCACAAGGTCTAACAGCACTAATTATAAGTCAGATCAGCAGACGCTGACCCAGTACTAGCAGTCCTCCAATAAACAGGGTTGGGCCACACGGGGTTTTCTAACAAGCAGCACTGCCAGCAGCGACCGACCAAAGTGTGTAACTGCCGCCACTGCCCCGGGCACTGGGTGATCTGGTTGCTCCCCCGGACCCACACCTCTAAGCAGCTGAGCAGCGTGCTCAGTCATCACGGGACACGGGCAGAGCTGTCTACCGAGGATGCTGAGCATCTCCCCTGACCATCCAGGCTCCTGGGACCTTGGAGCGGCTCACCAGGAACCCCCACTGGTGTTTATAGGTTCCTGTTCTCAGTGGTTTGCTTCTGTGAGGGAGGCCATTGCTTCCCAGCCTCCAAGCCTGTTAACCATTCTCCTGATTGGGCTTCTAGTCTGCAGGGCCAGCATCTCATTTCCATCATGCTTGTGACCTCCACAGTGCCCGACACAATGACTTCCAGAGGAAAAGCATTACTGGGGAATGCAAAGTCCACACCGATGAACAGGGAGATGCCTGTCATCTTGCTGCCTTGTGCTATTACCCATTTCTAGTATTGCTATTAAACTTTTTACCTATTTGAGTTTCTTCTATCCCTAATTAAATAGTAAGTTAGAAGAGGGAACAGTCTCATACCCAAAACTTATTATTTTGAATATTACTAAATACTCAGTAAATACTTAATTTAGTAAATACTAGTATTTACTAAATTTTACTTAATTCTTTTTCATAACATGCAAACAAGTGACTCTATATGACTCTACATTAAGAACAGAATAGCCATTAAGTAAGGATCCTCAGAAAAATCTGAAACAAAATTAACAGACTTTGTTGGCTGCCCACACGACAACCATATCCCCCCTTAGTAACAGCAGTCAGATTTCCAGTTTAGGCATCATCCATTCGTCCTGCAGTTCATGTACTTAGGGAAGCTCATCCTGTACCAGCTCCAGGGAGAGCCCAACTTAACCTAAGTCAGTCCAGGTCACCCGTCCTTTTGCATCAAGATTGATTCAAAGGAATCCAGGGTTAAGCCAATCACAAATGGCATCCTTGGCCACTGGGATTGGTCCTGAAGTGGTTTGGTCAGCTAAAAGCGTGGGGGCTCTCTAACACACTCCCAACCTTCCCTTCCCCTTAGCACAGGCACACACAAAGTCTAGCAAGGACATGTCCTACAAAGTTGCTGACAGCCAATGTTCAGACCTGAGGGAGCCAGTCTCAAAATGAAGTAGGCACTTGAGAAAGGCAGAGTAGAAAGAAGGATCCTCAGATGACTTTACTTATTTATTTTATTTTATTATTTTACTAGAGGCCCAATGCATGAAATTCATGCAAGAGTAGGCCTTCCTTCCCCCAGCTGCCGGCACCAGCTTCCCTCTGTCACCTGGGACCCGGGCTTCCCTTGCAGCCCTGGCTTCAACCCGATTAGATCTGTGCTGGTCTAATTAGCATATTATGCTTTTATTATTATACATCTTATTTTTTAAATTGCCATTTTTTTTAATTAAAAAATTGATTTCAGAGAAGAAAGGAGAGGGAGAGATAGAAACATCAATGATGAGAGGGAATCACTGATCAGCTGCCTCCTGTCCCCCCCACACTGGGGATCGAGCTGGCAACCTGGGCATGTGCCCTTGATCGGAATCAAACCCCGGACCCTTCAGTCTGCAAGCCAACGCTCTATTTACTGAGCCAACATGGCTAGAGCCAGATGATTTATAACAGGCTCATAAATCACACTAAAGCCCAGCCTAACCTAAACTGCCTCTATAGGATTTACAATCCTAGGAACCAATAGTAAGGTAAGCTAAGGAACCCTTCTGAGTGACATTCAACCACGCACATGCATCATGCAGTGCTGACTGTGTCTGACACTGTGCTACACAGTGGGGTATAGGGATGAATACAGCTCATACTCTTCTCTTGAGTAACTGGTTAAAAAAACAAACAATAAGGATAGTGATTTTTAGAAAAAGTAGTAAACAGAATGTTGGGTAGGAGTAGGGGCCTAAACCCAGTAGGAGGAGGAAGTGGGGAGAGTGTCACTTGAGGGAGGTGATTATAAATTGAAACTTTTAAATACAGAATCAGAATGGCTTGAGGGCATCTATTTTGACCGCAATTGCAGTCTGTTCCCTATTTTGGAGATCTCTTATTTTCCCAGGGGTTTGACAGGAATTCAGAAAAGAACTAGAATTCTTTCCCTTCTCTGCTTTCTGGTCTATGCCAACATGGCCTCACCCTCTGACCTGGGAATGGCCTTCCTCCTGACCCTAATGCAAAGGCTCACTGGGACTAACACTGCAATCATCCCATGACTTGGGGCATATGTAATTGCTGACCATGTCTGTATTTCCTCTCTCCTTCTGAGAAGGCTTTGGTAAAAACCTGTGGAAAACCTAGAGAGCCCTGGTCAACACAGAAATCCGTTTTATTAACCCCTTTATGGTCATTCCATTACTTAATTTTTTAAGTCACAGAAGTAGAACACAGCTGCCATGGCTTACTCTTTCCTATAATTTAGTGTGTGTATTGGGGGAGAGGGGTCTTTCAGACTGACCTTATTCCACCAAAACTGTAATTTAACTTGATTAGTCCAATAAGACCTTACAATACTAATTAGCCTCAGAACTTCAGACCTCAATATTTCATGACTTTTCTTGATCCATCTATTTGCATCTATTCCTCATTATCCTATGTAGTTCTCTCCCTGGGACTCTCAAAGCTCGCCCAATGTATGTGTTCTCCTTCCTTTTCTTCAATCATATTTCCCTCTTGTCTTTGGTGTATACCTTTCTCCCTCTGCCTGAGGAATCATAGTGTCTAGGAGGGAAAACCCACTGTACTATTCTGAGGCACTAGGTGCTTTAACGAGCACAAGCCATAGAGATGCTCTAGCTGCCATACCCCCCTGCAAGCCCCCCTCCCTGCAAACTCTGTCCCTGTGTTCCTAAGACACAGTCACCTTAGAGGAATAAAAATCTGGATCTATTTTCAGTTTCCTCTAAACAAGAAAAAAAAAAACAGTAAGAGAAAGAGAACAGCAAAAGTCACAGAAACAGCATCTGTGCTGGGATCAAAGTCCTTTTGAGAAGCAGGACCTCCCTGATGGGAATCAATTATTCTCAAGCTTGTACAGGAACAAAGCAATATAAAAAATTACCTAACACTAACACAGTCTAGTACAAACCACTTAACATAAAACACAAATGAGCTTTAAATTTAAGGTACGATACTAAACTTTGTAATATGAACGTTTTCCCTTATAAATTTGGTCAGGTGAAATGTAAGTCCTACTGGAAGGACCCAATGTAAACAGTAGAAATTGTAGCATTAAAGACAAATCAAAGCTCCAAAGAGAGACAGTGCAAATGGAGTAGCAGCCAAGATCCATTAACAGATTGTATTGAATGACCACTGCTACCCAAAGATCCCATTCAAGACATGTTCAGTCACAGGATTAGCAGATATTCAACGCTACAATGAGAAAAGCAGTAACTATTCTTTGGGGGAAAGTGGTCCATGGAGATAAGATCACTATCAAAAACCTCATCAAAGTAGAGGTGTAGGAAAGAACAGTATTTTCCGTTATTATTTTAAAATTACCTGGTAGCCTGGCATTGAATCTGTAAGCAGCACACTGGGGAATTTTCCCCTGGAAAAACTAAAGAGACCCAGTGGAAAAAAAATATTGATAACTAAAAGCAGAGGAGATTCCAAGAAATGACTCGCCCAGTCACCTCACAGTAAAGCCCGTATACACAGATCTTTTAATCAATTTTTTATTACCTCATACATAAATGAATGGACAAAGATGATCAGACATTTGGAGAGAGCATGCATTGTAAAAGACAAAGTAGAAGAAAAACACAGAAAACAGAAATAAAACACCCTAATATCCAACAAGAGAAAAGAGTTAAATAAATTATAGTACATCTACATAGTTCTTTTGCAGTCATTTTGACTTGTTTTTGAAGCATTATGTAATATTAATTTTAAGAAAAAATTTAAAGCCACATATTCAGCATGATCCCAAGTTTCTTTAATATAAATACTGATATATAGCAAACCTCCAGATAACCCCGATTGCCCACTAAAGGACTACAGAAGGAATGTTCACATATCCAGACCACGTGACATCCATTATCCAGACCAACGGTCATCTAGAGGATTACCCTCTCAGACAAATCCAGAGGCTAAGAAGGCAGGACTGACTTTTCTCAAGAATGTACTTGTTACTATGAGAACTCTTAGCATTCTTCTTCAAAACACTCTGGATATTGCCTACTTGTATTTCCAGCTTGCAAACCCTGACCTTTGAATAAAGTTTTAGTCTTTATTTCTAGCAAAGCCTCCAGACTCTTTCTGAGTTCATTCCACAATATTCTTGTGGGGGTGGGGAAATGAACCTTGATCCTCATCCTTATAAACAAAAAATAATACACAATATCATGGATCTATATATGAAAGCTAAAACAATCAAGCTTTTGGAAGTACATAATGTACTCATGAATTTGGCAGTATTTACCTTATGACCCAGCAACCCTACTCTTAGATCTATACTGAGA